GTTCTTGCACCATGCTTTTTAGGTGAGGAAAGTAGTGAGATACCCATCAGGATCAAAACAACACCTTTCAAAGAGTGCATAAACTTTCTTGTAGTCAACAGCCATCTGGTAGAGATATGTACGCAACCAGTGCAGTGACAATACAGCATCACTGGGTGGAGGGCTTCTTCAACTGAAGTCAACAGCCATGATAAACAGTTCCTTCAATAGAATCAATAGTCATGCATCTGTGACCAAAGTAAGCCTTCAAGTTGAAACACATCAGCTGCAGCTTGACCTGGAATAAGGATGGGCTCCACCAGGTCTACTTGAACAAGTTTCAACATGACATTAAGAGGTAAGATTACCTTATATACTTGAGTATCATGTGACCTTTGAAGACCTAATTTTTAAGCTGACTTGACTATACTAAATGGATATGGGAGGCATGGTGGAGTAATGGATAGTGGCTCGGATTGAGGAATCAGAGAGCCGAGTTCAAATTCCAGTCTAATCCATTACATTCACTTACATGCTAATACCCTTGAGAAAGGTATTAATCTACTTCTTCTCCCCCCCCCCCAGCCATGGGTAAATAGCAGGACAAACCAGGTTCTATAGCCTTGGATGGCAACTGGTCTACTGCAGAAAGAAATGGCAACCTACTGCGTGGAAAAAAATCTGCCTTATCATGTATCAAAAGATACGTGATCACCTAAGTGTGTATCACACAAGGCACACAACTGACTGACTGAAATGGATATATAGCTTGATTAACAGCATAGCCAGGGTCAGTAGTACATATGCCAATTTTATATCTCACATATGATGTGACCCCCTTAAAATTAGCTTCAAAGTTAGGTTTTCAAAAGTTGCATAATACATGAGTATATATGGTACTTTAAAAAAATTATGGGATGTGCTGCTAGGAAAGTTGGTCTAGCATGTCATGCTAGACAGTTTTTCTCACCAGAATCTATCTTGGACATTTATAAGTCTACCATTCACCCATGCATTGAATATTGCTACCACATCTAGTCAACTGCTTCTACTATATATTTACAAATTCTGGATAAGATCAAAGAATCTTAAATGCTTTTGGTCCTTACCTGGTATCTCAGTTTCAACCACTTTTCACCCACTGTAATGTAACATCCCTGTACGTTTTCTATAAATATTTTCATGGTTATTTTTTTATGAAATTTCATCTTTGGTACCTTGACTTTACAAATTTAAATGCAGTACTAAATTGGCAGTGAAATTTCATCATTTTCCAGTTGAAATGGCTTGATGTAATCATAAGTTCTATGGTAACAGTTTCTTCTCTGACACTTCTTGCTTGTGGAACTCTCTTCCAGTCAACTTTGATCCTCAAAAGTTGAAATAATGCCTCTGAGGAAATAAAGAACAAATAATGTCCCTGAAAGAATAATTTGTATATCTGATGTTGTGTAGATAGAAATGGGCATCCATGTAGCTTGGGAGACTTGTTTGTTGGGTTGGGCTTATTTATATTTGTTTAAGGGCACATTGGGATAGTGAAAGATACCTACCAAAACCAAAAGGTATTAAGAAGCAGGAAAATTTCATTAGAAACAAAGAAAAGAGTACTGAACAGTTATGTAATATCGGTACTCCTATATAGCAATGAATATTGGACACAGATGAAGAAGAGACTTAAGATGAAAGAAATTATATTCTACAGAAGGATGTTGAGAATACCATGGACTAAACATATGAGCAATGACAAAGTTTTAGGGAAAATGGAAACAAAACAGACACTTACACTTAGAATCAGAAAGAAATAGTTAAAATTTCTGAAGCACAAAAGAAAGAAGAGAATTTAACAGTCACAGGACATAATGAAGGCAAGAGAGGTGGAAAATTTTGTGTAACTGTTGTGTAGGAAACCTACCACCCCTCTTGAAGATGAACTTGTCTACAAACAAAGACATTAAATAAAAGACAGAGTCGGAGAAGTTCTTGGCTGAGCTAGTTATAGACTACTCAGGTGATTTTTGTACCTACTTACCAACCGAATAAACCCCTTTTTATTGTTACGTGTTATTTGGCGTTTGTCTCTACTAACCCCAAGTCAACATCATAACAGTAACCTACTTAATGAGCTTGAACAGGGATTAGGAGAGATAGCAAAAAGACAAAGCTAAGATCTACAAAGACAGGAAGTTGTGGAGAAACATGATTGCCTGCATCCTGAAGGGACATGGCACATAGAAGAAAACAGTGGTTTTTCTCCATCAGTTCTAGGAGTCATGTGTGCTGTTAAAAATTTAGGTCCAATTCCAATGAGGTCCAAAAAAGTTTTTTCTTAAGTTCCCCAGAAATTTCACACAATTAAATCTGATTGGTTAAGCAGTACCACATGAATGCCCACTCTGAACCTTGTACACCTGGTGAAAAGTTATTTGGTGCTTCATGACAAATGTCACTTCAGAAAGCATCACCTTGTTGAGACACCTTCCTGCACATAGGTTTGTTCTTTGGAGGCATTACAATATATATTGAAGACAGATAATGAATATAGCTTTTGTCATCTGCTGATTAAGTTACCAGTTAATTTTTATAACTCATTAAAATATATAATTATCTGCATTTTTCTATGAAAAGTAAAGAGTATTTTTAACGAATTCAGTTAATGAGTGCTCTCAATGATATTGAGTATTTCAAAGAAGAAATGTTTCTTAATTAAAACTTCATTGAAGACAGTTGTCTTTTGTAAAAAAATATTATATTATCAATATCCTATCTATCTATCTGATCATCCTCAAATGAACCACTTTTTCTCACTCCTTTCCAACCATTTCTAGTATTCCAGCTTTACCCAGTTTTTCCTTTTCTGGTAATGGCAGGGAGAGTAAGGAGGTAAACACTGTTAAGCACTACAAAAGATATAAAGTTGTGATTGTCAATGTTGTGAATGGACATTTTATAAAGAAGAATGAGTTCAGAGACTATACAAAGGGGCATAAGGCAAGGATGTGTCTTCTCATTGAACCTGTTCAACCTATGTAGTGAGGCAATTCCGAGAGAATTGGAAACCCTACCAGGATTTAGCATTGGTGGCCAATATCTTAACAATATAAAATAAGCAGATGACACAGAACTGATAGCAGACGCAGGAAAGAAATTACAAAATCTCCTACAGAAGGTAGCAAAGAAGAGCAAGAGAAAGGGATTAAGAATAAACTACAAGAAGACGGAATCCATGGTCATCAGTAAAAGGAAGAGCCCAAAATGCAATTTGCATGTCAGGGACACTAAAATCAATCAGGTGCAGAAGTTTAAATATCTGGGAAGCGTTTTGACAGAGGACCCTAAATACAACACTGAGATCTATAGATGTATTGGGATGGCCAAGGACGCATTCCAAAAGCTGGGCAGAGTATTGCGAGAAGAAATAACAAAGAAAATAGTACTGAGCTGTTCTGTGAATGTTGTACAGTCTCCTCAAAGATGAATAGACTTGAGGTAACAGAGATTTGGTTCTATAGAAGAACGCTGAGAATGAGAGCTATTAGAGAGGATGCAAACAAGAAGGAGGCTTATACTTGACATCAGAAAGAGGCAGCTGAAGTTTCTTGGACACGTAATGGGGAAGGAGGGCCTGGAGAGTTTGATACTCATAGGACGAATAGAGGGGAAGAGAGACAAGGGAAAGCAATGCATGACATACCTAGTGGGCTTAAGTAAGTGGATGACAGAACATGGTTTGAGGGAGGTGATAGAGGGACGGAACTTGTTGAGAGCTGCAAGGGATAGGGAGGAAGTGGAGAGCCATGATCGGCTATGTTCTGAAAGGATACAGCACATAAAAAGAAAGAAATAGAGAAGAAATATGGCGAACAGTGGAGATATTGCTTTTCTGCTTTCACAAGAGACCTGTACTCTTAATTCTTGTGAATATGGAAGACCAAATTTACAGAGAAAATTTCTCCTAAATTTACTTAAGATTTTGTCCATCCATCAGTTAAATGGTGTTTTATTGCGGCCTCATTTTTTTTTTTTTTTTTTTTTTTTTAGAAGACAAAATGTAATTGCTTACTTTTTTTATTGTTTCAGCAAAACTTTTGCAAAGTTAAATGTTACTTTCTGAAAATGTCACTTTTTGTCGACAAGACAATCTTCATTTGAATAGGTTTCAATTTCCTGCAGAAAAGAAGAAAAATAAATATCAGTCAAAAAATAAAATGCAAAGAATAATTAATTTTGATTTTTGTTTCTGGTTTTTATTGTCTGTCATCGTGGGAAGGAAGATTTACCTCTTCTGTATTTCTGATTTTATTTAACCTTTGTTTTAAAGCTTCATGTTATTTTCATATATGGTTTTATTTTTGGTTTAATTTTCTAATTTTTCTTCTATTATCTATGAGATTTTTATGTTATCTTATGTTTCCAAAAGGCTTTCTTCTGAGGTATATGGTGAAAAAAAATTAATGTTTGGAAGAAAGAAAGAAAAAGTCACAAAAGAAAGGAGGAAAGACAAAAAGAAATGCAAGAAGAAAAAGAAAAATATATGACCAAAAAAGATGAAATGAAGAAAAAGTGAAAAATAGAAAGAAAAATAATCACTAAACTGAAAAACAAAACAAAAATATTTAGCTTTAGTTACATGAAAAGGAAAGGAAGAAAAGAAGAAAAAAAAGAAAGAGGAGAAAGAAAAAATATTCTGCAATAATAAAAAGAGTAATATGGACATGAAAAAGAAAACTGGAAAAATAAATTAATAAAAAAGAAATACAAAGATGTTATAAAATAAAAAAAAATGTTTAACAACAAAAACAAAAAAAAATGTAATTCCCTTTTTCCATTTTGTACATTGTATTCCTTTATCATTTTTTACTGTGCCATTTTTTTTCTCTCATTCTATTTACCTATAACAACTTGTCCCATTCTTGAATCTTGTGCCATTAGCAAAATGAAAAGACACAAATGCTTTTTCTTCATTTCCTGTTAATTCCCTTTCAATCACAAAGACTTGTTTTGTCATTCACAACTTTTCAATGCCTTATTCATTCCTCACTTGGGGTACACTATCCAAATATCTTTGTCCAGATCTGTCTATACCTATTTACTTAAGTGTGTTCATTTCTCTATCTCTCTCTTCCAATCTCTCTGTCTCTCTCTCTTCCAATCTCTCTGTCTCTCTCTCTCTTCCAATCTCTCTGTCTCTCTCTCTCTTCCAATCTCTCTGTCTCTCTCTCTCTTCCAATCTCTCTGTCTCTCTCTCTCTTCCAATCTCTCTCTCTCTCTCTTCCAATCTCTCTCTCTCTCTTCCAATCTCTCTCTCTCTCTTCCAATCTCTCTCTCTCTTCCAATCTCTCTCTCTCTCTTCCAATCTCTCTCTCTTCCAATCTCTCTCTCTCTCTTCCAATCTCTCTGTATCTCTTCCAATCTCTCTGTATCTCTTCTCTCTCTTCCAATCTCTCTCTCTCTCTTCCTTCCAATCTCTCTGTCTCTCTCTCTTCCAATCTCTCTGTCTCTCTCTCTTCCAATCTCTCTGTATCTCTTCCAATCTCTCTCTCTCTCTCTCTTCCAATCTCTCTCTCTCTCTCTCTCTTCCAATCTCTCTCGTTTTATTTAAAATAGTTCCTATGTCTGAGATTATCACTCTGTCAATCTATCCATAATCATAACATAATTATGATTATGGACATAATTATTTTACATAATCATTTTTTCATAATTGTCAAAACTTAAAAACTGAAACTATATTCTCATCATAAAATGGCTTTTGTTTTTGGATTTTCATACTAAAAACTTCCCTTCAATCAGCCAGTCTTGAAGAAAGTTAGTAAACAAGTTATAAAAAGATAATAGGAATGGTAATTCTTACTTAATCAAAATAATTTCTAGTCCTCTCTGAATTTCTGGGATGAGGAGTTATCATTATGTAAACTATTTATATTCAGACTTGCACTCAGTGGGAATGGGTAAGCATAAACATGCAGCACTAAATAATAAGAATTAGGTGATGTCCCTAAACATGAACAGTGGAATGAGAACAGTCTACTCGTGTAGATTAGATAAAAGGGTTCAGTTCAGAATATTTTGTCATATACAGCCTACCATAATATTTCGCCACTGTTTTTGTCAACAACGCCACAAGCTATTTCAACGGCTGCATAAAAAATGTGACCTCTAAACAAAAAAAGTCGTTTTTCACTGCTTTTTAAGAAAAAAAAAGTAAGTAATTTTGTTTTAATCTTGTTCACAATTCATCAAATTGAGTTTTTCTTTTAACAAGACAAAGTTTATATCGAAATTACGAATTTTCACTTTTCACATCATCAATCAATGCCATTTTCTGACACCTGTTATCAAGTGATAAGAAACTTATTTAAACCTTTTTTAAAAATTAAAATAATTTCTACATCTCGTTAAAACAGAAACTGTTAATTTGATAAATTGTGAACAACATTAAACCAAAATTACTTACTTCTTTTTCATAAAAAGCAGTGACAAGCAACTTCTTTTTGTGAGAGGGGTTTCATTTTCTTACACAGCCATTGAAATAGCAAGTAGCTTGAAAAGTTGTTGACAGAACAATAGTGACAAAATATTACAATAGGCTGTTTATTACAAAATATTCATGACTGCATGCCCTGGATCCAAGTCATCCTTCACCACTAGTGAAATGTTGCAATAACAGAAACAGATGGAATTTGAACTTGAGATACCAATCTTATCTTTCTATACCAGTAATATACATACATCTACATATTCACCTACATCTATTATAATTATTATTAAAAAAACTATTTTACTGTGGTATCATTATCATCATCATCATCATGTGGTGATTTTGAAGATGATCACCTGACCAGTTCGGTCCACATTTCTGGCTTCTTTTATTTTTTTATATAATTGATATCACCCCAACATAATAAAGCCACTAAACGCAAGTTGGTTACAAGATGTGGAAGAATTAGGAACAGAAACATTAATGAGCAGAGAAAGAGAAAAGAGTAATCAGGATGACATTCGATAGTAATTGACATTGCAAGTAAATTTTTGCAGATTAAAATTGGCTGGAAAGCATGGAGTTCCTCATGTGAGAAGTGCGAGAAAAGAAATTGTTAGCATAGAACTTAGGGCTATATCTAGCTAGCTCAACTGTGAATTGATGTTGATGTTTGTCTATTACTTCACTTAAATTCATAGTCTAAGCAAGAAGATCTCATCCGAACAATTACCATGAAAGGCACAGAGAGGCAAACTTACAGCAGTTACTGAAGCTGATCCACCAGATCAGGACCAATAATATTGCTGACTACTTTAGGCCTTATCAAGGAGCTCAAAGTAAACAGCAGGAGCACTTGGCCCTATGTAGCAGTAATATTCTAAGCATGGCCAAATGGTTGACTTATAGATATATAAGATAGATTCTGGAGAGAAAAATTGCCCCACAACATAAGGACCAACCTGAACAGTTGAGTGAGCAGTGGATTCAATATAATCTTTCCACTTCATGTCAGCTGAGAATACGTCTTTGGCTTTCAAAACCCAGTATGACCAGCCACACGGTTGTCATTGGTAACTAACCTGATTCCCCCACCAGGATTAAAAGCAAAATCTCTGAAAGGGTGAATGAACCTTTTTATAGGACCAAATGACCTTCAGCACAATAGATTAGGCTTTGTAGCTATGCATACAGCCAGTGCAGGGATAGCATGGCATTGCTGTGCAGAGGGTTCTCCAAATGGTGACCAAGGCAAGCCTTCAAATTAGAGGGCATTGGCTCCACAAGGTCTACTTGCCCAAGACACACTCTGCATAAATGCATCCACATTTCATATACTGTAAAATGTATTTGAAAGTTTTTTATAATGAATATCGGTATCTTTTTCCTCTACTAAAGTTATCCCCCCTTGTACTTGAAATCCCATTTTCAGTGATTTTTTTTTTTCTTTTTTTACTACACTTTTGGAACTCTGTCCAGCTTATTGTTCCCTGGTCAACTTTGATCTTCAAAAATTCAAGTGTAATGTCAATCATTCTCATCTGTATTCTTAATTTTTGTTCTTTTAGTGTTCTCTCTCCTTACTAGTATTATTTTTTTTTCCTTATAGTCACTCATTAACTCTTTGTATCATAGTAGTGGTATTGCCTTGCTTTTTGTTTAATAATTTTTTTTATGATGCTCATAAAATAACCACATATTAATATAACCATTAAAAAAAATTTATTTAAAGACTCACAGCTTACAAAATTCCTAATAATAAGGATTTTAAAAAATATGCTATTATTTGTTGCCACAGTTATTAGATATTTAACATAAGGATTTGGAAATTTCATCCATTTAGGAAAGAATATAGTTGCAATGGCCTGTGAAATAAGTACGTTTTCTGTCACTCAGCAACATTATAGCTATCATTGAAATTATCATTAATATTAGAATGATCATCATTATTTGTCCCACCCATTTTGAAAAGCCATTAGCCCATTTTCGAAACTCACTATCTCCTTAAGTGCTTTATAAAGAAATTCTTAAGAGTCTCTTAAAGTCTAATATTATGTCATCTTTTTTTTCTTTCATTAAAGATTGTTGGAACTTTCTTAAATCAAGTTTTTTACCAATTATGGAAAAAAATAAAAAATTAAATAACTGTATCCTTCACTTTTATTCTTTTTTTTATGCATTTCATTTTTTTTTTTATTTGACTTTTTTCTCTTTGAGCTCTGTAGTGTGCAATGATTGTTTTATTTCATTTTTAATTTGTAAACCAATCATCTGATCTTCCTACACAGTCTAAAAAATCACATTTCTATATTAGTGAGGGTATGTTTCACAATGATAACTAATTTTCTTCCTTTTTGTTTGAATATTTTTTGACCATTTATGTTCTGTCCTTTTTCTTCTTGGAGAAGGAAATTGTTTTAAGAGAGAATGTTAGATGACTATGAAAATGTAAGGTCTTAAATATATTGAGTGGATTCTGCCTAACAGGGAAAATATCAAATCTAAGAAATTTAAAGAAGCAAATTCCATCAACCACAAAAATTTTTTGAATGAGGATTTGTTCATTGTAAGTGATTCTAAATTATTTAATTTTTTTGTATATCTTTCCACTTATTTTGAACGTTCTAATCTTAGTCTTTTGAAATTTTAAAAATGTTTTCTTTTCATTTATTTGAAAAATTTCCATTTTCTGTTTAAAAATTTAACCTTTTCAAAAAATATCTTATTCTTTACGCTTTTGATTTTTGCTTTTATAAATTTAATTTGTAATTTATTCATTTTTTTTATTCTTCTGTTTTAAAACTATTTTAAATTTTTCAAGATATTTTTTTTTTTACTTGTGTATTATTTTATGCTCTAATTTTGATACTTTTTAAAAAATTCTTTTCCCTTTTAATTTATTTTATCTTTCTTTCTTTACATTTCTTTTCTTTTTTAAGAAAATAAATTTGGGAAATCAGCAATAAATTTATACAAAAATTACATAGCAGAAAGTAATGACTTGTTACCAATACCAATTTAATAAAATTTCCTAAAGAATTATTTCAAAATAAAAACCAAATTAGTATGTTATTGAAAAAATAACTTCCAAATTAAGAGAGCTAAAAGAAAATCTTTTATATAAAATGAAGTAAGGAAATTTTACCAGGAAACAAAATGAAAGAAAAAATTAGCACTAATAATCATTCTTAATGAGATAGAAAATGTAATCTCAGTTTTGCAAGATTGTCACGCTTGATTGTCATCAATTTCATGAAATTTCTTTATTTTCTGTTATTTTATTTTTCAATCACTTGAGAGTAGTTTTTCTTTTACCTTTAATCATCCCAGCGGAGATTGCCACTGATGGGGCAAAGAAAATGTTTTCTTCAATTTTGCTCATTCAATCATCACCAAGTTTTTTCTTTCTCTTTTTTTTTTTTTTTTTTTGCCTGCTTTCATTTACAATATTTTCTTCCATGTTTTTCTTCAAGAAACACGTCTTAAAACTTGCTTCATTGTTATTTTTTTTGTTTTTTAATCCTTTCATCCCAAATAAGACAATAAAGCCACGAATACATGAAGAGTTATTGAATGGGAAAAAAATAAGAAAAAAAAGAAACATTATTAAGGAGCAAAAACAATAAAAGAAGAGTAATCAAGAGTAATCATTTAAATTTTTGAAGATCAAAGTTGGCTGGAAAGCATGTAGCCAGAAGAGTTCCACAGAGAAGAAGTGCAAGAAAAGAAATTGTTAACAAAGAAAAGATTACATCTAGCCAATTCAACTGTAAAATGATGAGACCTTGTTGCCAATCTAGCACTATACTTAAATTTATAAAGTCTAGGTACCATAAAGAAAGTTCATCAGAACAATAAAGTATTTATAGAAAAGGTACAGGGAGGCTACATTATGACAGTGGGAAAGTGACTGAAACCAAGATGCCAGGTCAGGTTTATTCAGTGTTTTTTATCTGTTTTAATCATTTTTAAACTTATTTGCTTATTCTTAGACTAGAAGTACATTTGCTTAGTCTTTGAATATATCTAGCCAGCAATATTTATACATGTTTGATTAAAAGCCAATGAAATGAAAATTAATGTTTTTACTTTTTTTTTCTATAATTTGGATTACTTTCCATGTTTTCAGTGAAAGTCTAAATTTTGTCACACACACACACACACACA